TTTTTTTCAAGACAGGGTTTCTCTGTGTAGCTTTGGAGCTGTCCTGGCACTCGCTCAGGAGACCAGACTGGCCTCGAACTCACAGAGATCCACCTGCCTCTGCCTCCTGAGTGCTGGAATTAAAGGCGTGCGCCACCAACGCCTAGCTCTGCCTGCCATTTCATACACACACACACACACACACACACACACACACACACACACACACACACTCCTGTACAACACATGTACCACACACACACATGTACAACACACACACACCCTCTAGCTTCTGTCAAGTTGACATAAAACTAACCAGCACACATGTCAAAGGCCCAGACTTTTGATTCCCAAGGCAGGAAACAAAAACAAAAATTCCTTTATAAATTAGGAACACAGGGGAGTACTGAGTCCTACAAGTTGTCTTCAGAATTCCACACACTCACTGTGGCACACAGGCACACACATAGGTACACAAAAAAATGAATGAAAACGTAAAAAAAAAAAAAAATTTAAAAAATGAAGAAATCTCACCAGTGATCCTTCACTCGGACAGCCGACAGAACCCGGAGCATTTAAAAAATTACCTCGTTCCAGATTCTTCTCTCAGCGTCAGAACTCTAACCACAAAGGGCAGTTTCTACAGTAAGGGACACTTAGCTAGTGTAGTGCCCCTGTTTGTGCCCAGCCAACTGGAGATCGGCAACTCAAAATCAAAATCAAGACAGACTTTATAGGAATTGCCAACCCAAACAGGAAATAATAGGATGTTTGTGTGTTAACTGTAAAACTTGAAACTTCAGCCACTTATAATGTTGTATTACTAATTGGATTCACGGCAACTTGTAACTGTGTTTGTGAGCCAGGCTGTTCCATGCTTACAAAGCAGCAGTGCGCCCAATTCCCATCCTCCACAGGTTGCTTTTGGTCATGATGCTTCATCATCGTAACTGCAACCTCAGCTAAGACAGCGTGTGAGGTGAGCACTCTCCCACTGAGTTACGTCCCTAGCCCTTAGTTTTTGAGATTTTTGAGACAGTCTTGCTGTATGTATCCCAAACTGTCACAGAATTTGAGCCTCCTGCCTCAGCCCTAGGGCTGAGATTGCAAGCATGCCTAAGCGGAACTTTGTTTGTTTTCTGCCCTTGCTCCCTGGAAGTCGAGGAAAGCAAGGGGAATGGGAAAGATTGCCCGTGTACACAGGCAAAGCCAATTGCTGTGACTGTTGTGAGCAGCAGAGTGAGTGGTTTGGGGTGTGCTGTATTATGTCTCAAGTCTTCATAGTCTTATCACTTTAGACAGTGCTTTCCCCTCCCAAGCAGGCCAGTGCAATTATAGTGATATATACTGTAAGCTTCAATAATTATGGAACATTCCATTATTGTGCCATTATTTTGAGCAAATTACCGGCTGTGATCAATAAAATTTTCCTTTAAGTGCCTATGAACTGAAACCAAGAAACAAGCATTCAGATCAATGTTTAGCCAGAACTAATTATTTTAAATTTGCCTAGAAAAGAAAATCACAGCTACTGAGGATGTGGATGTCCTATTTTTGGAACTGACATACTTATTTTAATATATGAAAAAGATACTTTTTTCCATTATAATTCTGTTCTTTTGCTTCAAACAATGAGATATAATGCTTGATCAGGCCTGGGAGACTGGTCTGGTCATCAAAGAAGCTTCTTGCCCAGTGATCTGAGTTCATTCCCTAGGACCCACATGATTGAAGGCAAGGACATCTCCCTCAAATCATCCTGACTTCTGAGTTCCATGTGTGCACTGTTGGCATGAGTGTCCCCTCCCTGCTCCACTTAAAATTTTTTTCCTTTTATTTTTCTTTTGGGGGTGGGGGACAGGGTTTCCCTGTGTAGCTTTGGAACCTGTCATGGAACTCACTCTGTAGACGAGGCTGGCTTTGAACTCACAGAGATCCACCTGCCTCTGCCTCCTGAGTGCTGGGATTAAAGGAGTGCACCAGCACCACCCAGCTAAAAGCATTTTTTAGGAGATGCAGTAATTCATGTCTGGTCACACCGTTGAAACAAGGGCACTACAAAGGAATAGTTAGACTTTTACTTTAGAACTGTACTAGGTTTTTTGGTTTTTTTTTTTCTTCTTCTTCTTCTTCTGTTTTCCTCTCTGGCAGCTTATTCTAAGAAGTTCTGAATACAAAAATCTAAATTTATAGAAATCTGATTAGTCATGGTGAGATATAAAAAGTTGAATAGTAATGCAATGTAAGTGATGAATATTCAGTATCATTGTGATGTGATCCTTCATTTTTTTGTGAAAAGATGTTTTTAAAAATATAAAATACATAGTTAATTGATTGTCTCAAAAACAAAAATGTAAGTGGTAAGCCCCTCTGTAACCCAGGCACTTCGAGGGAGCAGGGGAGAGACAGATCCCCTGAGCTCAGTAGCCAGCCAGTCTAGGCAATCAGTAGTAGGCTGTGGGCTCCGTGAGAGACCCCACCTCAAAACAAACAAACAAACAAATAAAGTGGAAAGTAATGGAATAGATATTCTGACATCATCCTCTGGCCTCCACACACATGTGCACAGATGTGCACAAGCTCCTGTCTGACACCTGCATGTACACAAACAACACACACACACACACACACACACACACACACACACACACTAGAACCATAAAAACCAAATAAAAACATAAGTGTTAAGAGAATCGCAGGGGCTTAAGAAATGGCCCATGGTTAAGAGTGTGTACTATTTTCACAGTGAACTGAAGTTCAGTTCCCAGCAATTGTGTTGGGTGACTCTCAACTGCCTGTTAACATCAGCCCTAGTGGATGTGATGCTCCTTCTGGCCATCATAGGTACTGCACTCATATGCACGTACCCACACACGTATACACATAGTTAAAAAAAATTTTTTTTTTAAGAAGAAATCACATCAGTATCAGGGCTGGGTTTGTAGTTCACTTCCCTGGCATGCATGAAGCTCGGGGTTCAATGCTCAGTGTCATGGAATTTTAAAGAGAAAAGAACCATTTATGTAGCAACCCCCTGACAAATCTGTGCTGGTTATTTTGTCAACTGGCACAAGCCAGAGTCATCTCCGAAGATCAACCTCAACGAAAAAGGTGCCTCAGATTATCTGTAAACATGTCAATGGGGCATTTTCTTGATTAATTATTCACGTGGGAGAGTCCAGGCGATTCTAGGGTACATAAGAAAGCAAACTGAATGAGCCATAGGGAGCAAGCTAGTAAGCAGTGCTCCTTTGAGTTCCTGCCTCCGGGTTCCTGCTTGAGAGTGTCTCTTGAAGTTGACCTGCTAGAAACCCCACCCTCCCTAAGTTGCTTTTTGTCATGATGTTTTATCACAACAACAGAGAGCAAACTAGGACCTAGGCATTCTTTTCAGTTGCCCTACCCTTTCTTTTTCCTGTATTGTTTTTATATTGTTATCAACCTGTTGTAGATACATTGTTGCCATTGAGCCTTAGCCTCCCAATCTGTACTTATTACAGTTTCATAATTATCTTAACTGTTTGTATAATGTTACACTTCCTTTTTCCAAAGTTCCTCAGTGTTTACATTGTTACAACTTATAAAGTAAGTCATAAAACAGAACAGCTGTGAGGCCAACTGCAGCTGGGGCAAAATCACAGCTGGAGAGGAGATAGTTGCCTGGAATCCAGGTGACCTCTCCTCTGCAGAAAGGTCAACACCTAACAGGCAGGCTCTTGAAGTTGACTTGTAAGGAATCACAGCTGCACTGACTGGTAGCTGGGAGGATATGGTTCTACAATTGTCAACATTTGTTAATGTCAACTAGTCTGAGTTTCATAGGATGTAAAATGTACACCTCCAGTTTTTGGATTTTTTTTACTACCAAGTGCAACAAGTCTGATCCTATGAACTTAACAGCAGCCTGCAGTTTTCATGCTATAGATGTGGGTTTTTTTAACAAACTGTTTTGGCAACACCAAGACTACCCACAGAAAGATGAGACTTCAGATGGAAGCGAACATGTTTTGACTTGAGGTCATTATGAATTCAGGGGGATTTTGAGGGAAGAATGGGAATTTTTGGAGAGCAGACTGTTAACAAAAGACTATTGCTGTTCAGTCAGGCCACCCAGCGGAAGGTAGTCTTTGTTTCTCAGGATGTGATTAATATTGCCTCATCATTTAATTTTAGCATTTCTAAAATAAGGAAGCTTGCATTACATCAAAGCAGAGTCTGAAGCCTCGGGGTGCCCATTTTTGCATATGTGTGTATATATTCTAGATACAAGTATATTTATATGTGTATATATAAACAAAAATAACACAGCATGACAAGAAGGTTAGAAAATAATTATCTAAAATGAACAGCTCTCCCACTGTTGCCTTACACTGACCAAAATCTCTGCTAATATTTTGAAAAATGGGGCTTTCTTGTGCTTGAACTTGGGCCTCGTGCATCTAGGGAAACTTACCTCTGTCCTATGCCTCCAGTCCTTCAAAAATCATTTTTGTTGGCTGGGGGTGGTGGCTCTTGCATGCCTCTAATCCCAGCACTGAGGCAGTAGGAATTTGAGTTCAAGACCAGCCTTAACTATGTAGTAAGACAGTGTCTTGACAATAAAAATAAAATTATAATTATGTTTTGTCTATAATTAGAATGGAATATGTGAGGTGAAATTACTTCATAGTCTCCTTTTTTCTGTTTATAAAAATGTGTGTGCTGTTACTTGTAATTTCTGGATAATTCCATCCTTCTCCATTTATAGTTTCCTAATCATGCCTTCTGTGATTGGACAATTAGAAAACTCAACTGTGCCTCTGCACAATGGCAATGGTAAAGGCTCAGTCTGTGCCACGTCCACCTGGGTCTGAGGAGTGAGCTGGGCTTGCTGTGATCCACCTTAACTAGTGTCCTGCTGGTTCCCATCCCCACCTGAGTTTCTTTCTCTCTAGTTTCTCTGTGATTTGCTCATTTGTTGGAGATTGTAGGTGAAGGAGCTGGCAGGGACCACTTCATGGTGTTCATCTTTCTTTTCTCAGTGGTGAAAGTGGTGCTGGAAAGACTGTAGCTGCCAAGTACATCATGAGCTATGTCTCCAGAGTGTCCGGAGGAGGCCCCAAGGTCCAGGTGAGTCTTGGTGTGGTCAGGGACTCCATTTATAGCTGGGCATGGTAACACACACCTTTGATCTATTTGTAGTTTTGAAAAGAATTTATTTTGCAGAGCACAGGTTGTGTAACCAAGGTACATGAAATGTACAAAGAAATTGTATGTTTTCATAGTGACATGTCTAATAGATGATGAACTCTCAGGGATTAATCAAAAGGAGAATAAGAGACATGAAAGATAGCTCAGATGAAAGGAAGTATAAGTTATTCATTAAACATGAAAAAAAGATAAATTTGTATTAAAACTACACCAAAACAGAGGCTGTGGATCTAACTCAACTGGTAGAGTGCTCACCCAGATGCACAAAACCCAGAGTTCCAATCCCAGCACCACTCAGAGGTAGAAACAGGAAGATCAGAATTCAAGGCCTTCTTGACTATACAAGTTCAAGGCTATCTAGGCTAGTCTGGGCTATATGAACCTCTCTCTTTCTCAACAAAGCAAGAAACCCAACAAACAAAAATCCCACTATCATCATCACCTATTATTAATTATACCCATCACATTGTCAGAGCCCCTGTAGTATAAGCATTGCTGGTAAAAATATTGGGGCACAAGTCACTTTTGTTACTGATAGGAGCATAAAAATAACACAGGTCTACAGAGGTTATCTCAATAAAAATCTAGGAAGGTACACAAAGGCACTATCTCACACAGCAGTTTTAATGTTGTTGTTGTTTTGAGATGGGATCTTACTAAGTTGTCAAGGATAGCCTTACACTTCTGCCTCACCCTCTGGGATTACAGGAATGCATCACTACATCCAGGTTATTTGGTGCTGGGGATGGAACCCCGGCTTCACAAATGCTAGGTAACCACTTTACCAGCTGAGCTGTAGCCCAATCCCACTTAAGGGTTAAGTAGGGCTCTTGAGCTGGGCTTGTAGCTCAGTGTTAAGAAGCTTGTTTGGGCAGGGCAAGAGTATGTCCCTAGCTTGCACAAAGCCCGAGGTTTCATCCCCAACACTGCATAAACCAAGTGTGGTGGTTACATGCATGTAATCCTAGCACCAGGGAAAGGGAGGCAAGAAATGGAGGCAATCACAAACCAGTGTTGTGTGCTTGAGGACAGTCTGGGCTAATGAAACCATCTTTTAAAACGTAATAAAAGGAAGCCAGGTGTTGGTAGCACACACCTTTAATCCCAGCCCTTGTGGGCCAGATGCAGGAGGATCTTTGTGAGTTTGAAACCAGCCTGGTCTACAAAGTGATTTCCAGGACAGCCGTGATTATTACACAGAGAAGCCCTCAAAAAACCAAATAAATAAATAAAGTAATAAGATCAATAAAAAATAAAGTAATAAAAGGGAGGAGAGAAAGAATTCGTGCCTAGAAAGCCTGAATCCATTGTCCTGAGTTTGTTTAATCCCAGCGCTGCAGCCAAAAATAATAATAATAATAATAATAAATAAGGCTATGATTTTTTTTGTAAAGCAAAAAGCCTCAAGATCTTTTCTTTCTATGTCCCCCTAAGGGAAACTGAGTATCATTAAGTGGTGTAGCACATCTATCCTACAAACAGGAGATTAAAAGGAATAATAAAGATACACACATTCCAAATTGACCTTACACAGAAACACAAAGTTTGTATTACAGCCCTGGGTTGTAAAGGAGAGAGGCAGCTTAGGTACGGAACTAAGTCTGGAATTGACCGGATGATGGGACCACCCAGAGTTTGCCTTGGTGCTAGTGACTTATCACTCCTGTGTGGAGTGGGATGCTCCCTTTCAAGCCTTGTGGCATTCTCTCTGGGATGTTTAGGGGTACCATTGGAGCACATAGGCTTGTCCCACAGTCAGTTTTAGTGCCTTCATCTAGCCCTGTTTGCTATAGTCTGTGACCCAGTGGCCGAGCTGCAGACGGTTAATGTTGATTTTTCTCTTCCTGTTTTCCTTTGAGGACACTGATCCAGAACTCTTGGCTTCAAATTAGTCAGTAGCTCAAGAGCACAAGCCAGAAGACTTGTTATTTCTGGAACACATTTAACCATAGCATGTGAATAATTAGATGTACAAGGAGTGAGTCACTGTCAAAAGCCCTCTCCAGCACCGGGTCCTATCAGCTGAGAAGCCTCATGTCTGTGATGTGTTTTGCACACTTTTAAGTCTGGCATGGGCCTGGGGTGTTCACACTAAATGCTTCCCCTGTTGTTGGCTAGGAGCCTTGTCACACAATGTGGTGTTGCCCCTGGCTGACCGAGTGTGAGCCCACACTAGAAGAAGCAGTAATGCCAGGGCTGCTTTAAGGGTGTTGGTTCACTCCTTCTACCATGCGGATCCTGAGGACCAGACCAGAATCAGACTCAGCCTTGGCAGCAAGCTCCCTAGGAGCAGGGATTGCTTTGGATGCAGCTTCCTGGGCCTGCCCCAGACCTATTAAACCTACCTCTGCATTTTAACAAAGACCCCCAGGTGACTGGTACACATTTAAAGTTCGAGACAACACAAGATTGTGTTTCTTTCTTTCCTTTTTTTTTTTTTTTTTTCATTTTGAAACCAGAACATTTTATTTTTATGGACTGAAATCCTCAAGATGAACTGGATGCTACAACAGCTACCCTCTTGGGTTTAGGTGTTGTCTGGTCACGGAATCCATATATGAATCTTCGATAGACAATTTTTAGGTGTCTCATCCGCCCAGTCCCGGTAGTGTTTCGCCTCTTGGCCTTGGCACTCCAGTTATACTCTCTCTTGTGCTTAGCAGGGTAGCCACATTTGCCACAGGTGGACTTTTGAAGGTGGTAGGCCTTAGAGCCACAGCGGCCGCACAATGCGTCTTATTGCGATGCTTTCCAAAGGATGACGTTCCTCTCATCATCTTGCTTCTGCCGCCGAGGCCAAAGAGCCAAGATTGTGTTTCTGTAGATGTTTGGGAAGGAGAAACTTATTCATTGCTATCTAGCTAAGTCTTGCCCCTAGTGTTTCGAGCGGAACACATGGGGAAGATGCAATGGCAGGGAGACTTCTTCATGCTTCTCTTTCCTCCCCTCTGTGATCACCAACAAACCCAGGAGTTCAGGGAGGGGGGGTCACAGCAAGCAGCATGGAAAACCAGTCCCAGTCTGTGTGGACTCCGAGCTTTGAGTGGCACCCCAGCTTTGGGATGCTGCTTCAAACCAAGAGGGTTTGGGAAACCTAGTCACATTAGTAAGATTCTGTGACCATGCAAGAATACTTTAATAAACTATCAACTGGAGAGGTGGCTCAGAGGGCAGAGGACTTGATTAGCAGACACAAAGTCCTGAGTTTGATCCCCAGCACCGTGTAAACCACGTGTGGTGGCACATACCTATAATCTTAGCACTTGGGAAGTGGAGGCAGGAGGTTCTGGAGTTCAAAGTTATCTTCTGCTACATATCAGGGTTGAGACTAGCCTGAGCTACATGTCACTCTATTTAAAAAAAAAACAAAAACAAACAACAACAACAACAAATGCCTGAGCATAGATATGTACATCTTCAATCCCAGCACTCAGGAGGCAGAAACAGATCTATCTCTGAGTTTAAGACCAGCCTGGTCTAAATAGTGAAATCCAGGCCAACCAGGCCTACATAGTAAAATCCAATCTCAATAAAAAACAAAGCAAAACCACATTAAATTCTCCAGAAACTCTCCAGGACATATGGATTGGGCCTCTTACCTGACGATATTCAGAAAGCAGGACTTTGGGGAAAATTGCGTTTGACATCATGTGATAAGCATACATTATCTTCCTAACACCCTCTTGTCTGTCCCAACAGCACGTTAAGGACATCATCCTGCAGTCCAACCCCCTCCTCGAGGCCTTCGGGAATGCCAAGACAGTGCGCAACAACAACTCCAGCCGATTTGTGAGTGTCTCGTGGGCATCTCCCATATCCCGAGGAGACAGGCTTTTCAGCCTCTCTTTTATCTTCTAAGCAGTGTGCCCTTTGACAGAAATTACTTTTAAGCTTTGAATGCAAACAAGATAGTTTCAAAATTGGCTCACCCCTTGAGTTGTCTTAGTAAGAAAAATAAAAGTTGATGGAAGGGAGAGACCTTGTCCTGGGGAACTGTGCACGTGCCTGGAGGGAAGAAATAAGTAGAAAAAGCCAGAGATCCAGGCCTGCTTGTGGGGACTTTGCTCCTCCGAGCTTGGTCTGAGGGGAGTGGACACTTGGGCTAAGGGAGCACCTGGGAGACCTTTCCTCTCCTCTAGGTCTCTTCCTGCCTCACCTCCTGGATTTCTGAACCTGCCTTCTGTATGCTCACAGAATGAAGAGTCCCTGACCTCAGTGCCTCCCAGTGCCATGTCTCCAGGGTTAGGATAAGGTCACCCTTGTAGTTCTGTGAATGCCTTTCTTAAATGTTTCTGACCAGAAGTCTTGGCGGTGGGGTTTTGAAATGTGACCATTCCAAAAGGTGTATTTCAAAGCCGAATACAGATGCCTAGAGATTTAGTGTCCTATTTCAACCATACAGCCTGTCTGGCACTCAGGCAAGAGCCATCTGCGAGGCTGACAGTGGGCTGTTTTCAAGATAAATAGTGGGTGGGACTTTCAAAGAAAAACAGGTTTTCACTTTAGAAAAAAAACATTTACTTAAAGTTTTTATTTAATTATTTTTCTTTAGCTATAGTCCCCTATATAGCCCAGGCTAGGCTTAAATTCCTTATGGCATGTCTACACACACACACACACACACACACACACACACACACACACCCCGCACATGCCTCAGTGTGCTGGAACTGCAGATGTATACCACCATGTTGGCATTGGTCTTTATTCAGAAAGAAAGGTCTTATTTCCAAGAGAAGCCTTCCTAAGGTCTCAGGTAGTCATTGTCAAGGTCTCTGATGGCTATCTATAAAACCTGCTTCACACGTTCCTCATTGTCTGGTACTGTTCTTGCTTGTTTCCTCTTTCATATTTGGGGTGTTTTATTCTGACCTTTCTAGGTAATGACAGAAGAAAGATGCTGTGAATGAATTTTCTACATGACCTTTCTCCCCCTAATTATCATTCTTAACCTGCCTTGCAAAAATAAACACTGTCAACTTTAACCCTTTAGCTAGCCCCCCCCCACCCCTTACTCACCTTCCTTAGAAATCAGGGAAAACATAGTTATGACTTCCCTGGCCTTTTCCTGTTACAATAAGTTGGGTTCTTTTCATTCTAAGAAGATAACTCAGTCAATCTTTAGAAATAGCAAGGGCTCAGCATTTATAACCAAATAACACTAATAGAGAGAGGGGGAGAGTATAGATTTTTTTCTCTGTGTGTCATGCTTAATGATGTCAAAGAAGAGGAAAGTCTCTCTCTCTCTCTCTCTCTCTCTCTCTCTCTCTCTCTCTTTC